GGGGGGGGGGGGGGGGGGGGGGGGGGGCTGGCAGACAGCAGAGCCCTTTGCACACGACCCCCCCACCCCCAGCCAAGTGTCAGGTGATCCCCCCCCCCCCCCCCCCCCCAAAACCCCCGGGGTGGGGGGGGGGGCCCCAGAGGGGGGGGGGGGGGGGGGGGGGATATGTAAAACGGGGACAGGAACTATTTCATATCGTTAGTCACACATACACATAACCAGAATTCAACCAGGACAAGTCTCATATTCTTTAAAAACAGCAAAATTATATCCAGGAAATTGAAGTTGCAACTTGTCGTGTCAGAAACTAGGACTACAACAATATTTTTTCTTAAGTTTACATCATGACATTTTAGGCAATACATGCATTGATTCCTCATTTGAATATTTATATCTATGTAAATATGTAAATATGTAATGCATCAAATACTCAGTATTTGTGTAGTATAGCTTCAGTAAAATACTTTTTTCACATCTTATATGAATTCTTATAATCTGACTGACTGGAGCCAGGGAAACCCCCCCCTGTGTCCTGGGTGGTAAAAAGCCGGTTCTGATCCGGGTCAGGACCAGACTGACACAGCCAGGTGTGTAAGTGTGAGGGTCAGAGGTCAGAGGTCAGAGGTCAGGGCTAAGGGCTCTCCGCGCCGTGTTTCACTAAAGTTTCCCTAAAAAAAAATCGTGTCCAACGCTGGCAGCCTCCCGTGAGCGGGCATTGTTGCGGAGAGGGGTGTTTAAATCCGGTCCCGGGGACTGACAGGGTCTGACAGACTTAGGCTTACAGACAGAGCAGCTAGTCATCACTCCAAAAGCCGGCGCTAAAGCTCAGCCGCTCGCTCTCAGCGCCGTGAACGCTTCTCCTCCCTGCTGCAGGTAAGTTCTGACAGCCCGACTGACAGGGCTGATGGGACAGGATTGGTGTGTGTTGATACGGGGGTGGGTGGGGGGGTTAAGCAAGGCATGTCAGTTCACCAGAAAGGAACCTGTCAAATCCAGGTTGAGAGGGAAATAAATAAGAGCACCCATGGGTGGGCAAGTACATCTGTCAGGATGCCAGTCACCCGGACAGCTAGTGGGGAGCGCTGTGTGTTTATGTGTGTGTGTTTGTGTGTTCACAAGGGCTTAGCGAGGCCCTTTAAAGGGAGCTGTTTTTTTTCTGTCAACCAGGTTTATACCTTAAATCCCCGGTGAGTGTTCAAATTGAGAGTCCTTTGCCTCTGAGATAGAGCCTGATTACACACACTAACCCACTTCCACAAACACAGGCACACTCACAGAGATGTCTGCTCTTTTGCACTTTGATGTGCCAGGCACTTCCTGCGTTAGATCAAGGAATTCAAATGACAAAAGTTAAGTGTTAAACCTGTCTGGAGGAGGCTGTGAAGGGCAGGAAGAGCCAAACAAAGCCAAACTAAGATGAACATCTCCCTGGTCGTAGAAATAAGAAGCTGTAAGGACAGAAGTAGTATCTACCAGAAATAAAGGAACAATGTTCCTACTAGATGAATGCCGATATTCTCATGCAATGCAAAGGTTATTAAAAAGGAGTGGAGCATCTCTAGCTGAATTTCTGATGAAGGTACCTCATACATCAGCAGGTGCTTCCAGAAGTGAACTTCTTCCAGATGGAAATAAAGTGGAAGTGGATCAGAAGAGCTGAATTTGCTCCTTAGTGTCCTGAGAAAAATACTAAATGCATTTATTTGTTGGTAGAGTTATCCTATCCTGCATTCCTCTACTCTAGGATTCCACTTATTGGGATAGCAAAATATGTCATTTGATATTTTTACTATTATTTTTACTACTACTATTATAATGTGTATGAACTAGTTGCCACTTTATGTTTTTCTTGACATTTTACACAGTAACCTTTGGAACTGGGGTTGTCTCATTGCATTTCTTAGATGCTTAAGCATGTCTGTTTGATCTACTTTTGAAATGATAAAAAAAAGAAAATCAACTTTTTGAACTTTCCGTATTGAAAAGTTCCTCCCACTGACCGCTGCCCTCCTCTCCCAGCTGCTGTGGACTACCTGGCTAAAAACGTCAGCCTGTCCGGCCAGCGCAGGATAAAGCTGGCTGACCACTCGGCTGTCCTGGGACTGCTGCAGGTGGAGACCGGCCAGGCCTACTAGTCCAGGGACTGAACGTCCAGCGGCGGACACGGTCACCAGCAGCACCCGGACCTCCCGCGGCCCCCGGGACTCCACCCAGGGAGACCCATGCCCTCTCCCACACACGTTCCCAGATTATCCCCAGATCACGTCCCCACACTCATGTGATTCTGGCCGTTTCCTTTGGGTTCGGTCATTTCAGGCCTCCCCACATCCTAAGTTCAAACAATGAGTTGTTGTTTTTTTTACATGCTTGTAAATAATTACACGTTAAATGTGACTAAAAGCAACCAAATACAGATCCAGGTCAGTTAGGGATTTTGCGAAAATCATGGGCAGACCTGCTGGTGTCCGGTCAGCTGGCCAGCTGTGTGACCGAACAAACCCAGATCTGGGTACTGATTTGACCGAGAAGACGTGTGAGGGCGGTTTGTTCTGTCAGGGTTCACACACACACACACACACACACACACACTCAGCAACGTCTGTTTACGTGACTTACTTTATTATTTATTTACTATTTTCTATCATTTACCATAAAACTCCAATACTGTCTTATTCAGAATTTATTTTCCTTTACTTTAACTCTCACATGATCACCTATCTGTCTCAACAATGAATTGTCTGATTATTGTTTGTAATGAAAGACATCTTAACCCCTCCCCCCTCTATTTTCCCTCATACTGTATTATTCCTGATACAGTACCAGCAGACACTAAGTTCTTTTCTCTGCTGGACAGATCTGTGTTTTCTGGCCAGCAACAGAAGACGCTGGAAGCTTAAACTCACACAAACTAAACCCAGATTCCTCTCCCATGTTTCCACGCACGTGTGCGCTTATGAGTGGAAGACTGACCTAATTTGCCCGTTCCTGAGGAGACAGCTCCGTTCTGCTGTTCCTCTCCCAGGTTTTTATTTGACTCTATTATCCAGCCATCCTCTGTCCGTGAGCCCCTCTCACACTACGAAGGGTTCTGCTCTTATACTGGAAGGAACTGTGATGAGATAAAACATGTAATAGCTATTCCAGGAGCTGGAAGAGCTAAAGGTGCTTTAAACATTTGCAGCAACACCCGCCCTTCATTCCAAAGTTTCCACGGCAGTTTCAATTCTTCAATGAAATATGCAAATTAGCAAATGATTCAAATTGACTGGTTGTCAGTCTAATCAGAAAACAAATTTACGTTTCATTTCCAGGCGCTAATTTGACACTTTCTCTCGTGCATATAATTAAACACAGATTAATGACTCTACCTGTACTTTGGTCTGTACAAACTTTTGCATCAGGATGCATTTCGATTAGAGAGCAACCCTAAAAAAAAACCCTCACAATGTATAAGTTTACAAGAAATTACTGATGCAAACATCAACAACTCGGTTTAAGATTCCATGCTCTGCAAATCAAGTTGATCAAATAACAAATGAGCAACAGAAATACTTCAAAAGTCAAAACTGTGTGCGCATTGTTAAAGCTTTCTTTCTATTTGTCATGAAGCTGTGCTTTTTTGTTGTTATTTCAGGGAGCTAGTCGGTGTTGTGTATTTATTTTCCTTTAAAGACGATGCCTTTTTACGGGAACGCTGAATGAAGGAGTTGTTTTGCACTGTGGCTGGACGCTGGTGTCCATGGACAGAAGATCCTACTGCCACTATAATCTGATGCTCATATTAGCTTTCTCTACTAAAACTACAGCCAGGAAACCCCTACCGACCCCTATTGTGCCAACTATCTACCTTGTTGATATATATATCTCTCAGTTAGATCTCCTGCCACACACACCATTTGCAGCTTTAGGTTTCCCCTCTTCCATTTCTTTACTTCATTTATTGATGTTTGGGGAAAAATGGGAAGTTTTGCATGTGTATATTTGCTGAGTTTATTATTATTTATTATGTGTTAGTCTAGAACAAACCACACATCCAATGAGGTCGGGACTTTGTGTAAAACCTAAAAGAAAAATAGACTACAATGATTTGCTCTTTTTAAAAAATCTTTTCGCAGCAAAATAAGCAGAATACTGGTCTAGTTTTTAGGGATTTGCAAATCTTTGTATTCTGTTTTTATCTATATTTTACATGATGTCCAAACTTCATCAGAATGGCAGTTTGTGAAATAAAATATATACTGACATGAATTTGATCCAGCCTCTTGCTGTGTCTAACATCTCAATGCTCAACGAATGGACCAAATAAAAGAGTTGTGTTGATTCTATGTATTTTTTTAAACCAGCTCAGCCCCGGGTCCCCCATTGGAGCAGAGCTCTGGTACCTCTTAGCTGAGCGTTTTTTTTTCTGTGAGAAGCTCTGGAAGTTAACGGAAACTCTGACTGAACACACTACTTCTGTGGAAATGATCACAAAACTGAGCTGTAACAACTTTTTCCCCCCAGAACTTTAGAAATAAAAGGGAGATTAGACACAGGTCAATGGTTAGATAACACACCAGGATCAAAATTTCTAAGTAAAGGCTTGGTTACAGGAACCTTAAATCTCTGTGGTTCATACCAACGAAGACAAGCTGATATTTTCCATTAAAGACCTGTTTGGTGTTGGTGGTTTTTGGTTAACTTTAGAGGAAGCTATTGTTGTCGTTAGGGTCCTGAGGCTCCTACTGACCCTGCTGTGCTCACTGATAGTTCAGTGGTTATTGTGGTAAAGGAACACATGGTCCAACAGACCTGGAGAAACCTGGGATCTTCTGATTCACTACCGTCTCTCATAAAAATGAATTATGAGCACCTATAACTTTATGAAAGGCTTCTTATGTTATCAAAAGGTCTTTCTAGACACAGTTAGGCTCCTTTAAATGAGAGTATTCTCTTTCCAACTTTCTTTAATTCACTTTCAAATCAAGTTCTTGGTACTATACCTTTAAAACATTTATCCAGAGTAACCTTTTTATTTGTTTGACTTGACAAAAGTTACGTATTTGTACATCTTAATATAGAAAATGTCAAATATTGAATTTCACTTCAAATTCTAAATGTAATCAGCTAGTTAATAATTAAAAAAACCTAATGTGGTGCATATGTGACAGACACACAACATAGTGTGGAGTTTTTCATAAAAGAAAACAACATTGTTTTAATAATAAATCCAGTGGCTTTTTACCAGGTAACAATAACGGCCCATTATTGGATATTGAGGTCCACAGAAATTGAAAAGGTTCTTTTCAGTTAGCAGTGATTGAGTGCGTTTCCTGTAGATGTTCATCCTCCCAGATAAAGGAAAGGCGCGGGCTTATTCTCCACGTGGAATTCCACTGTGTCACATTCCCAACTGTCTCAATGAAAGCACTTACAAAGCCCGACATTTCCTTAAATCCTGTAATTATTCCAGGATAGATTATGTACCTGGGCCAAAGCTGTCTGAGCACTACAGTAAGGAGATTGGCCTTTCTATAGTAAGCTTAAAGGGAACATATTGTTATGACTGGCTAACAATATCTGCTTGTAAGTAGAGAACCTAAGCAGACACAAGAATAAATGGGAAATAAAATAGTAGATCCCTCTCTACTTCCTCCCTGACAGCTGTTGTTCCAATCCATCTTATTTAGCTCAGGCTTTCGCTCATAACAAAAGGAAATGACACATTCTATCTTTTTCGTACTATACCTTATCCCCACCCTCACCGACTGCCACCAGCTCCCCCTTTCATTGACTGTCAGGTCTCCTCTTAAGTCTGGCACCCAGCAGGCCTGGATGGATGAGCACTGAGCTCTGTTGTTCCACACCCTGCTCCTGCAACCTGCCTCCTCACTCTCAGCCCCCCGTCTGCTCTAATCGCCTCACTTCTGTAGCGCGCCGGAATTAAGCGGGGATGAAGATGGATGTCTTACTAACCTCCTTTCTCGTCAATCACTGTGGAAACAGGCTCCGGTTCTCCCACAGGAAGTGGTTAGAGTCCACGACAGAGGTGTTTCAAACAGCTCCTGACCTCCTCTGCACACCAAGACCCACAAAATAAGGAACTTATTTAAACCTGTTTTAATAATTTAGGCACCGTTTATTGTTAACTGAGTCTTAATTGCTGTTTTTTTATTTATTTGGAACATTAAAGATAAACTGATGCTGTCTAAAAACACACAGGGGTTGCATTTAAAAATGACAAAATAGACAGTTTTATACTACATACAATACTTCTTAAGCACATCTTCCGTGGCCATTGTTTATTTGTCTCCGGAGCAGCGGCTAATCTTTCTAACAGGGCCATTTGTGAGACTTAGCTCTGGCGTGTGACCACACGAGGTATTCCTGAACACCTCCTCACTGACTCTGCTCCTCAGACAGCCGGATGCAGAGAGATGGTTCAAAGAGGTTTTATTGAACACAAGACGCACTCGCAAAGAGTGGAAACAAAGTAGACCAAAAAGATCAAAATCACTCTTACGAGGAAGGCAAAAAGGCCAAGAAACAAAGCGCCAAAATAACACTCACTTGAGTTAAACAAAAGCACAAGGAAGATCTAAAGCAAAATCACTCTGACGAGGTTATACAAGAGGCAAGGCTAGGTACAGGGCAAGGTAAGGCTCAGTAAAGTCATAAGACGGAAGAAAAAAGGACAAAACACACTGGCAAAAGACAAGGAGAGACTCAGACTATTTAAACACAAGGGAAGGGAACCCCAGGTGAACACAACTGGTGATCAGGGAAGACAAGCAGTCATGTGACCTGTGGCCTGAAACAAGGAGGATGTACCTTACAAAATAAACCAGGAAATGACAAGACAACCATGGAGACAGGAATAAAACACCAAAACATGGACAGGTCCATGTTAATCTGAGAGAGGGGCTGTAGTGAAGGGGGCAATTTACAAGTTTGGCCAGCGACATTCAGTAAAAAAGTGAGTCTGAATACACATTAAAATCCTTTAAATGATCAAATCCTTACTCAGTTTAGGATTGCTTCTACACACACTTCTGATGCTGCATGATGGCTATATCATGAAGGACAGGATTTCTGTCACTAAGGGAGTTAAATTATTCCTGACCCACCAGGCTAAAGCGCTGACCAGAAACCTGGA